TGAAACCTGTTGACAGTACCAATCAAAAGAAGATAAACAACCTGACAATCAGTTTCAACAATAACAGAGTGGAAGTGATGAGAAACAACAATATTAAGACCATCCCTAATGGCATATAATTCTGCAACAAGTGCAGTAGTAGGGCCAATATTGCGTGTGAAACCAATAACCCAGTGCCCTTGATAATCCCTTAAAAGGCCTCCACAACCAGCATTATTGGGATTACCAACAGTAGATCCATCAGTGTTAAGTTTGAGCCATCCTGGAGGAGGAGGGTCCCAACCAATGAACCTAGTAGCCTTAGTACTTTTAGTTGAAGGAGGGGATTAGAAGCAAAGTAGTCAATACCGTACCGGCATGCGTACCGATTTTGTTATTGGAACGGTACGTACTGGATACCGAAATTTTTCGCGTACCGTTTTGGATTTATTGTTATAAAAAAATTTTATGAAAAATTTGGGGAAGAAGTTGAAGAAAAAAAAAACAAGAAAAGGACTCAATTGAAAAAATTAAAAAGCTAAGGATGACATTTACCAAAACAAACTCATAAGCCCAGCCCAATATTGAGCAGCCCATCAAAACCCAAATTTAACAAAACCCTAGTTTCCTCTCTTTTAAAGGGAGAAGGAGGAGGTGCGGCCGTGCGGCTGCCAAACCCAAAAAAAAAAAAGAAAAAAAAAAAAAAAAAAAAAAAAAAAACTTGATTTTTCTTCCTTCTGCAGATCTACCATCGCCACTATCACCTCTGTTCTTTCACCTCGGATCTTCACCATCTCCTTGCTGATCTGGCTTTGTTTTTTGTTTTGTGTGGGTTTTTTTGGTTTGTTTGTTTATATGTTGGTTTGCTTTGCTTGTTTGCTGTTTCTTGTTCTGTTCAGTGCAGATCCGACGGCCTTCTTTCTCCTCCAGCGGATCTATGGCGGCACGCACGAGGGCTGCCAGATCTGACGCCCACCACGGCTCTCCTGTTGGTTCCGAGGGACTGCCGCCGCCTGATCGGGTTACCGCCTGGGTATCCTGCCGCCACCCCCCAGCCAAAACGATGTTGTTTTGGCTGGGGATTCTTTTTTTTTTTTTTTTCTTCTTGCATAATGTACCGGTCAAATTTCGATGTACTGACCGATACCCGAAATTTCGGCCAGTACATCGAAATTTGACCAGTACACCC